GACGTAGCAGCGTGATGATGAGACCGGGATCAGAAAGCCACAGAGGAAGCGCATGACGCTCACCGCCAGGTGCCAGCGGAAGCCCACGGAGCCCGGATGAAGGCGAGCAGGCCCCAGGGAAGAGTTGGCCTCCGCCAGGCTGAAGTTGCTGAAGCACGCTATCTTCCCGTGCACGAGGACCGTGTCCCGGAACACGAGGGAAGGGAAGCTCAGGAGGGAAGCCAGGACCCAGATGACCACGCAGGCCACGTAGACCAGCCGTATGCTGCGGTGGTTCTGGGACCAGACGGGGAGGAGCACCGCGATGCAGCGGTCGAAGCTGATGGCCATCAGCAGGAAGACGCTGGTGTGCATGTTGTGGTTGAGCAGGAAGTTGCTGACCTTGCACATGGCGGTCCCGAAGACCCAGTGGTAGTCCGCGGCCACGTAGGCAATGTGGAAGGGGAGGAAGAGGTTGAACAGGAAATCGGCGATGGCCAGGTTGACGAACCAGATGGTGTTCACCGTCTTCTTCACCTTGAAGGTGGCGATGAAGATCACCAAGCCATTGCCCAGGATGCCCAGGCAGCAGATGATGCTGTAGACCACCACCAGGAAGATCCTGATCGCCCCGCCTTCCGGGGGTGGAAACTCCTCCGAAATCAGGATGGCTTCAGGATCCTCGGGGTACTCGTAATCGTAATGGTAATCGTAGGAGTTGTTGTAATCCTCCCCCTCCATGCTCTGCAAGGGGAGACCAAGGTCATGAGCGGAACCTGGACTGGAACTGCCTTCCAGAGGCCAGCCAAGATCAGCAAGCCCGACAGGGTTCTCCCTGGCCAGGCACCAGGCCGGTTTCTTGGCTTAACTACTTCCCGTGTTGCTATTTTCTTTACTTAACAAATAGCTGGCCAGCACCTCCTACACACCAGGGACTGTTCTGAAGCCTTGACATACACAAACGCTCTTCATCCTTGGAAAAGCTCAGCGAGGTAGACGGGTTAGGAACCCCATTTTACAGGGGAGGCAACTGAGGCACCGAGCACTTAAGTGATCTGTCCCAGGTCATTCAGCTGAGAGTTAACCCAACTTCAGAATCTACCCTCTGGACAGCCGTGTTTTGCTGCCTCTCTGGAACCCTCCCTCACCTTACAGTCTACTGGGGGAGACAAACATTCATCCACAATTCCATGATCATGGAAAAAGTGGGCGTAACAACGCTAAATGCCGTGAAGGAGAGGTGCACAGGGCCATGAACTCGGTCCCAACCACGTTCCCAAGACCCAGGGGACAGCTATGTGGTGCTCCCACCTGGTCAGGGAACCCGACTAGCGCCCTTTGGAGATATGAGCTCAGACCCCAAGAGTCCCTCACCGTTCACTGTTAAGGTGTCCAAAGCTCTCCGGGGTGGGTCCTCGGCCAGTCAGTCTCCGTGCACAGCTGGAAACACCTGCCGGGAGAACAGGAGGCAGCTGCTGGGTCCCGGTCTCAGAGCCACCACGCTGGTGCACCCTGAGAAAGGACCTCTCGTCGTCACTCCCGATTCACAGAAAAGGAAGCAGGGACGTGCCTGAGGTGACCCAGCTGACGAGCAGCTGAGCTGGAATTGGAACCCAGGACCCTGACGCCCTGGAATCCCTGCGCTTCCCACCACCAACGCTCCTCCCATCTCGACAAACGGGCTCCACGCAGGTAGATGTCTGAGCCTGGCGAGACTGCCAGTCGATGGTGCTTCATTACCCATCACTCCTGCTTCCCTCCATCCAAATTCATCGCCGCTCCTTCATGGACTTGCGGTTATATTTTATTGCATAAGAGCCGTCATCTGATTTTATTACACAAGAGCTACTTGTAAAATTCCATTGAGGACTCTGGGCTCCAGGGACTCTGAATTGGAGCTGCGGACCCACTCCGCAGGCTGGGAGCAAATTCCAGGGGTGCCCAGTAACGGGTCCCCAGGCCTCCAGGCAGGAGGTGGCAGAGCCGGGATTGGTGCCCCGTCTGCAGAATCCCGGCTCTTCCCATTGCTCCGTGCTGCCCCCAAATCATGATGTGATGACTGGGTGTCCACATCCCCTGTGCCGGGCTGTGCAGGCCCCAGGGACAAGGAAATGGCTCTTCTAGCAGGAAGGCTGCCTGCGCTCCAGTCATCACATCCACGCTCCAGGCAGGAAGATGGGAAAGATGAAGGAGGGGTCTCCACGGAGCTCATAGTCGGTTGCAAGTCACCAGGCAGAGGAAGTGCTCCCAGGCCGGGAAGGGGTGCTCCAGGGCCTGGGAGTCAGAGGCTTCCTCAGGCCCCAGGAGGCTCAAGTTTTAACCCATTAGCTGAGCTTTAAGGACAGTTCTAAGATGACAGAAGGAGCCCTAGCCGGTTTGGCTCAGTGGATAGGGTGTCGGCTTACAGATCTGAAATGTCCCGGGTTCGATTCCGGTCCAGGGCACGTACCTCCGTTGCAGGCTCGATCCCCGGCCCTGGTCGGGGCTCCTGTGGGAGGCAACCAGTCGATGTGTCTCTCTCACATCACTGTTTCTCTCTCTGTGTCGCTCCCCTTCCCTTCCACACTCTCTATAATCAATGGAAAAATATCCTCAGCTGAGGATTAACAACAACATCAACAAAAAAGATGTTAGAAGGAGGGAGGAGGGTGGGCCCCACCTCCCAGCATGCCCCCCTTTCTGGCAGTCGGGGAGGGGGGTGTCTGAGCCCCTGGAGGAGGGTGGAAAGGAACGGGGACTCGGGACCGAGCACTTGGCGCTGCGGTGCCTGCAGAGACACTCTGGGGACACAGATGATGTCATGTCTGGCTCCCCGGCTGGGCTGGGAGCAGCTCAGGGTCAGGGGCCACCTCTTTCCATCTTTGAATGGGGGCCAGGCTGGGCCGGCACAGGGTGGCGCTGACATCTTCTGGGCATGTCTGCCCGCTCACCCCTCACCCCTCCTCCTGAGAGCTGAGTGAGTCAGTGTCCCCAGTTGGTATGTGTCCTCCCCCCACCCCCACCCCAGTCCCTCGGCTCTCCCTGGACGGGAACCCCAGTCACAAGTTTGCATTTGGCCTCTATTCTGTCCCCACAGACATCCCTCCCGTCCTGAGCTCGTTTCTGCCCCCAGACCAGGTAGTTCTGGGTTGAATGGTCAAGGGCAGCGATTCTGGGCTGCCTGGCATCCCAATCCTCAGTCTATATGAACTTCCTATGACCTTGAGCAAGTCAGTTACCTTCTCTGCACCTCAGTTGTCTTATCCATAAAATGGGCAGGATCACAATCATTGGGAATGGTTGAGGGGATTAAATGTCACATGCAAAGTAACTTAGAGTAGTATTGTTACTGGGTCACTATGTTGTTATTGTTTTTATTACTGTTCTTTTATTATTATTGTCATGGTGATGATTATTTCTTAGGCTTCCACTCTTAACTCCCTCCTAAA